AAGCCCCGGACTCCACCATGAGACAGCTGGGATTCGAGATGACTTCCTCCACATTTCATGAAGTGGTCGCGTCACTGCTGCCCAAGAGTCTGACAGCCGCCGGCCCAAGCGTTGCAATCGCATAGTACTGACGGCGCAACGAAGACGGGATGGCAGTGAAGTACCAGACCGAATTGAGCAAGACCGGGCCAGACGCCATCATAGCTAAGTGATTAGTACATGGCACATGCTCTCAGTTTTCTCGGCGTGCATCAGTAGGAGGGGTGCTACATGTCAGGGGTCATGTTGGTATCGTGTAAAGAGTGAAAGATGCCGTAGACCGATGTAACGCAGCAGTTGTTCGTGACCGGGCGGCCCCGAAGAATAGGTGCGCAGACTTTCCAGCAGATGCGCACGCACTGTTGAGTGTAGGATTTTTCTTGCGCGGCCAATCAACACCAAGCCTGCGCGAATTAATGAACGGCTCAGCGCTAAGCCCTGCAGCTGCAGGCAGACGAAGCTAAAGCGCTTCTAGAAGCTCGTGCTGGCATCATGTAGCGTTTCCGTTACTGACAGAATCAAGGTCCATGGAGGTGGTGATTGATGTCATTCAATGCCTATGCGCCATCATGGCGCTGCATGTCAGTGTTCCTTCGTTTGCTTTCACGTGTTACCATTGATTGGGTAGCCGATTCTCACGTGTGTAGTCCATTGGCTATCGCTTCGTCACATGCGCGTCCTTCTAGTCTGAAGGGCGGCTGTGACAGTGCGCATGGAAGACGCATGGATGGCTGATCTCGAGTTGCAGCATGATCGACGCCCGGATGCATGTATGTGGGGGCGTCTCTCATACCTTAACAGCCTCTTGAACCCACTACGGCCAATTGACCCACATCTAGTAAACACGAGGCTATGATGAACACAGATCCAAAGCGGAGTGGCAGCTTCGACATGTCGCCACAAAAGCAAACATCCCGCACGGGTAGCTAGGGGATTGACGTGGGATGAACTGGGGCGATTTAATGCACTTCGCGAAGTGTTCGCCGATCATCCTCATAGACCCCATGCCGTTGATGCCGATGGTTTCGTCGCAGCTTACTATCGGAGACAGCCAGGTTCCGATAATAGGCATCATGGCAGCCGCTACACAGTATTTGCAGAACAAGGAAGAAGCAAATAGACAGCCGCGCAGGAGTCGCCTTGTGAGGTGGGCATCTGACTGGTGCGCCACACCAAATCATGCCAATTCAGTGATCACCATGGTGGAATAGTAGCCGATAGCAACGGGGATGAGAGTGGTCGATGGCGGTTGACAGCAGATGAATGAGTGACGTAACAGAGGAATTAAAGACTAGATTATATGGCGTATTAAAAGCGAGCGGTCTGAGGGCGCGATTGTAATAACAGTCCACCATTGGGGATTCCAACGTCGACGAGAATACGCGCGCTATTTTTGTATGGTGCTGTGTAAAGGATATTCATCAGCGCCCGCCGCGTATTGACGCGTTGAAGTCTTCCCAGTCTTCCCTAGCTTTTTCTCAGTGACAAAGACGCGCAACACGATGAGATACCTGACAATCAAGAAGATAATAATCGCGGCGACCAGAATACCCACTATGTACGCTCCGACTAGCCCAGAAGAATTCTTCTGAAGGTCAAGGAAGGGGTATACATAAAAGCCTTGGGTCGCATGCGTGAGGTAGGCCAGGCCAAGATAAAGAGCCAACAGGAGGATAATTGGAATCAGGTCGAGCCAGGGCAGTCGCTCAGTTCGGGGGATAACTATCTCGAAAAGGGCGTACGCCGAGTTGAGAGCATGCTGTGACGTGTTTGACCAGAGAGCGAAAGTGGTGGGGAATTGACCCGCAAGAAGTGTCCAGTAAACAACTGTTGTGTGTTAGTTCAGCGTGCTCAGACAATAAATTCTGCCAGTTCTCCAAAAACGATGTTGCAGGGAACACGAGATTGCCTCGAGGTACTTCGGCGCGACTTTGGCAAAACGTTTTATGTAAGTTGACTTACTGGTCACTATCCACGGATAGACTACAATGGTAGAGTAAAACATGCTGTGCGCCACCTGTAGCGCTTTGGGCCATCGTGCCAAAAACGAAGTTCCAGTGAACCAGTAACTGCCGGTATGCACAGCGGCAAAGGCATAGTAAAAGGCGAGACCCCAATACGTCAAAACCGTGAAGAAAGAGAAGGATTGCTGCGAAGCGTCGGACCTGCCGTGGGTACCATTCCAGCCGAAGATGAAAAAGAGCGTGGTAAATGCGTAAATGGCCAATAGCGCGCGAATAGCGAAGAGGGCGGCTGGTGGGAGAATCCACGAGGTTACAAACCGCGTGGGATCAAAAAGGCCGGCGTACGGTGCCGTTATTCGTTGACCAATAGCCATGCTGGGGTTGTTGATTGGGATCCTTGTCGAGTGCCACCAGACTGGTTGTCGTGTTCTCGGAACGTTTCCGACGCGGTGGAATCTGGGTCGTGGGTAGTGCGCGATAGATGACGCGAGATAATTCGCGATGGAGATGATGCGACGTGGTGTTGTGAGACGGCTGCAAAACTCGTTCACCCCCAATTTCCGAGGCTGAAGCTGAAAAGGGCAGTCACCGAGCTGAGGGAAGCGCGCTAGCCATCGGCGCTATGTCACATTCGGACTAGAACCGGTCGCCGAAAGAACTGACAGGATCGGCCGCGTCTTCGTAACATTACCGCTCTATCCCGGTCTACCATCACGTCTGTGGGCCCGTCCGCTTCAGACTCCCACGCTTGTAACCCCGGCAGCAGAGGCGAGGCACACTCCCACTTACACCCTTACGCTCCCTACGCAGGGCGGCCAGGATGAGGCCTGCAGCGCGCTTGGGCACAGGTGGCTTGCTCGTCCCTCTGCCACTGCCTTCTTCTTTAAGACTACGGGATGCCATCAGTTTGGAATGATACTACTCAGGATGATCACCCAACTGAAAAGCCATCTTCCCAACCCGTTCAGTATCCATCACTATTCGCCCGCTTTGCTTCGTATCAAACATCACCATGAGTGACAACAGCAGAATATCTGTACGTCTGCATCTATCACCTCCTAAGCACTCCGCTAACGGCTCATAACAGAAGGCACAGAATCTCGCTAGGATCAGGGACAACCAACGTGAGTGGATTCCTTGGACGACGACGACCTATCGTCAGCTGTCAGCTGTCAGCTGTCCAACCATGAAGAGTGGCGATAGCTTGCAGCCTGCAAACCATCCAGACGTCTCTGTGTGAGCATTCGATTTACCGAGGATGTTCGCTAACGGTACTCGTTTCAGGCCGATCACGCGCCCGCCGGAAGGAGTATCTGCATGAGCTCGAGGCCAAACTGCGCAGCTATGAACAGATAGGCATCGAGGCCTCTTCGGAAATCCAGTATGCTGCCAGGAAAGTACTAGAAGAGAACCGAAAACTCAGGTCGCTTCTTCATGGGAGAGGAGTCTCTGAAGCGGAGATTGTCGCTGCCCTTGAATCGACGTCCGATCGACACTACAAGCACACCTCTGCCGCCACCAGACTGCAGGCCATGCTTGAGTCAAGGGTCAACACCAACACAGCCTCTTCGACCAGTTCGCCTATACCTTCATATACCAGAGCCGATTCGTTATCTCAACACGTCCCATCAGTGCCGCATGCTACTATCCCATCTGCACGGCCGACAGCACTCAGTTGCAACGATTCGCCCAGTCCAAGATCCGTGGTATCAAGTATGGGCACACCACCACCAGCCTCATATCCAGCGATGCACTATACTACTCCAATGACTCCATCAGCTGTTCAGATCAAGTCAGAGCATGTTCAGTACGACTACCCTTACGAGCAGACATATAGTAGCGCTTGGGCCTACTCGAGCGACTGCAACTACACTGCAGAACCGACGTCATATTACAACAACACCTCGTCTTGTGTTGACGCTGCCAACATCATCCGCACAATGCGATCTGGTGTTGGCCCTGAGCTGGAAGTCGATCTCGGATGCCACACATCAGACCGTCATTGTTATGTCGACAATGCTACAGTATTCAACATGATGGATCGATATTCTCAAAATCATGCGACTTTATAAGACAAGACGGTGGTCAGTCTGCGGATACAAGTGGGAGGTGCCCCGTCATCATCAACCTGGCCTATAGCGAGCGGAGCTATCGGAGACCAGTGGCGGCGCTTGTTGTGTACGACCCTACGGTGGCCAAGTCCATGTTGGCGGCTGGATAGGCACCTGTTGTACTCATCAATAGCCTCTTCAGTACTATGTTGAGTCGAGACAATCTCTAGGAGGGTCTAAACAATGCATTGTGGCGAGGAAACGTTTCGCAGACCCCTATCGAGACCCTACCACCGATACGTGTCGGTCCTCTTCACTGCTTCGCCCGCCATTACGAACGTCATGAAAGAAATCAACCGCTAGCATGAAAGCGAAGCCGAAACTTGAACTCTTTTCTTTGTCGACAGCCGTCGCATGACCTCCCGCCTTGCTCAGTCTATGTTCGTATGATACACTTTGAACACTCCAGTCGACGCCAGCACGCCAGCACCAAGCCTAGAGGACTTGGAGATGATCAACTTAAGTTTGTAAATAACGTGTACAAACTACTCTTGTAGCCTCTATCGGCGAATATGATGATCTCATCATCATCGATTCCCTCCATATTCGGCACTGATGAAACTAGTCTCATATCTTTTATTCCTCTAGATAGGCCGTGTGCACCCTGTCGTCTTCTCATGTTGGCACGGTTCTCTCTAATTACTGTCCTGCTGGTGGAAGACGGCTAGGTATCTCCCTTTGTTCAGATAACTAACACAGCATGGGTGATGTTGGCAAACCCGGCATGTTCTTCTTGTCCTCTGTAGACAAAGGGCCATTCTTCAAAGAACACATACCCAGCATATATCCGACGCGACATCTGTATGGGTCAAAGTTCCAATCTCATGTCCATGAATTCTATTCTTGTCTGACACTTCACATCCATTGGTATCGAGGTTCTATCAAGATGTCTCCAAAACGGAAGAAGACAGGACATGGTGACGACCCACCCAAGGCGAAGAAGACCAGATCAGAGGATACTCCTGATGACGATACAACCAAGACCGATGTCAACTGGTTCATACCAAAAGAAAAGGGAGAGAACATCTATAAAGAGAAATGCGCAGCCGATTATGCCCAAATCCTCTATGAGAAAGCGCGAGAAGAGATAAGTCCGCAACAAGCACCTTTGTTAGATCCGCAATTCCGGACGCCAGTATTCCAAAAGCAAGGCAAAGATCTGCGAGCGGGAGACAAGTACAGGCCCAGCGCGTCTTTGCGCAACCTGTTCAACGATATCAAGAGTAGAAGTATTGATAAGGAAGAGGGCCATAGCATCACTCATTTCCAGCAGCAGTTTGGCGATGACGCAAACATTGCAGTAGTGCTCTCAAGAGCGGATGACAACGCTACTTTTGTTCTAAATGAAGACCAACGTTTGGAAGTGTAAGTGCAGATACATGGCTCGTTGTCGCCAAGCTGATTGGATTTAGGATTGTGAACGATGTGACTGCACATGTAGATTTTATCCGACGGAACTCATCAGAGGATGGCAGCCCAGCCGGTTACTTCATTCAACTCCCTCTCAATACGTCAGTCACAGTAAACGGAACTACATACACCAACAGCGACGACTCATCATCCATGCCTTCTTATATTGGGCCGCTCGAAGGGTACGCGATCATTGAACTACTGTCGCAACCCGCGTTTTTCTTCAGAACTGCAGCAAGCTTGAAAGCCACATGGTCGCATAGAGCGGTAACTCAAGAAGAGCTCGATCGTCGCGATGGGAATGGCGATGTCGCGTTGGGAAACACAAGGGTGCGATGGGGGCCTATTGGAGCTCCACTACCGCCAGCGGGACCGGGAAACCCGGGCGTTCCAGAAGAGGTAGAAGAAGAGTCGGGGGATGACTTCACCGACACATTCACCGATGCAGGAGAGCCGATCAAAGATCTTGGTGCGTATATGCGAGCTCAGCTGTTGTCTCATCAACAAAGTCGATATCGCGAGCTCATTCCCAGAGTTCTTGCTTCGGTGAACTATCGAGAGAAAGAAGCTACCGGACTCAGCTATCAGCATGAAGGACAGACTTTCAGACCCGGGAGGACGCTGTTGCAACCAATCGAGGTGGAAGGGAACCATCTGTTGCTCGCTGCTCAAATCCATGCCGACAAGCACATCACACTCAAAGTCCTAGACCCTATGACGTGGCGATCAACACTGTCTAGTCGGAAAGCTATCGATGAACACATCAGGGAGACTTTGCGAAGCTCCACATGGTGGCGGCATGTCTTTGACTCGTTAGATCAAATGGAAGAAAACCTGCCCGAGGCCACTATGTGGGTACCGGCGGCTCAGGTCACGACAGGCGATGGAAGCTTTACGTACACCGTATTGAACGCGTGGGCGCTCACGATGGGCCTCGCGCCAAACCCGTCGTTCACACCCAGCGCTCATGGTCACGAATCGTTCTTCATCCGGGCCCAACAAATCTTCGATCTGGCCCTTCAAGACACGTTGAACTGGAGGGTATTGCTCGCCTTTTTCCGCTGCACCGGATTCGTTAAGCCCAGCGAGGGCAGCGAGAATGATGAAGAGGCAGATCTCCCGCATCTATCAAGGCGATTTGATCTTTGTAACCGCTCTTTCCAGAAGCTGATCGCTCGCCAAACGGCAGCAGACGCCGCTGCTGAGGGCAAGAAGATCGATATGGAGCTGGTCACTTTGGGACTCGAGCATGGAATGCGCCATGATGTAGCCTTCGCTGCCGATTCACTAAGCGAGCTCGAACGGACCAACCTCACTTCCATCGTCCGTGATAGCCGATGGAACTTCGCTGACACAAAGAAGAAGCTGAAAAAGCGTCTGGACGAAAACAAAGAGCAGAAATTGTCGGATGTGTCGTTGCTAAAACCAACACCACCACCACCACCTCCACCTCCACATAAATCGACTCCAGATACCGAGGAGATTCCGGCCGACTTTGATCCTTGCAAGCATCTTCACGAGCAGATTAAATTGCTCGAAGAGCAGGGGAAGATTGAACCAAAAGTCGGAAGTGAAATCGACGAAGCATTGCCATCCAGGTGGAGTCAAGCTGTCTTTGGATATATCGAGCCCGTTGTACGAGCTATCAACGATTTGCTCTCGCCTGAGCAGCCTCAGCGGGGCTTCACGCTGGCAGACCTGAATGGTTCATCCAGATACGCAGATGATTCTGGCGTGTTGGACACAGTGGTTATGATGGTCTGCCAACTGGGAGACCATGTCATACTAGTAGTCTTGCAGCATGAGGACGCATCCAAAGAAGCTCCTGATGTCTCACGCGTTATGGACTCCGCACCATGGACTACCACGGCGAAGGAGCGCGTCCAAATCCACGACCTACTGGTTGAAGCGGGGATGTTAGTAGTTGATCCTACTGCAGACGAAGTTAAAAGTTTCGTCGGGCCAGTACTACAATGGATGCCGGGACCTCAGCAAGCACAAGTAAAAGAAGCTGGGTATTTCGCAATCATGAGTGCATGGGCTGTACTGCTCGGTCTACCCATCAATCCCGAATTCCGCATAGGCGCAGATTTCTACGACAGCGCACTTCCTCTGCTCCAGGCAGTGGTCAAAGCACATGCAGACTGGAAGCTGATCTGGGCGTTCTTGCGTTGTGTGGGTTATACTCAGTCCGAGCAGCCGCCCTCGATGCAGCGTCGATTCAAAGCGACAAGGCCTGCTCGTGGCCCCCGTATCACCAAAGGCAACAGAAAGACAAAGCGCTCGATCGAGACTCAGGCTTGCCGTGACATCAACTATCCGCATTTTCCAGTGAACACGGGTGTAGCGCATACTGAAGCCTTCCCGTGGGACGACTATGACAAGCCGGATAGGGCAACTCGTATACCGGAGATGATCAAGTCTGGAGAGTATCCAGAATCTCTGCTTCCTCAAGCAGATCGCACCAAACAAGACCTTCCTACTGGAAACAAGGAATCTTCATGCGCTCAATTCCATCGCAAACTCAAAGAAACACTAGAGGATGAAAAGATCAAGACTGAGCTGCAAGACTTCCGGCATACTCAGAATCCCACTAGTAAGTTTGGTGTATGGCTAGAGGATTGGGAAGCATCACATGCTATTGCTTCAGTCACGTTCGCAATCACATCGAGTCAAGATGATTCGCTTGGATTTGGTTTCATCGCCCAGCCACACGTCCAAGGTATCAGAAACACGGTCAAAATTGATGTTATGCGGACGCAACGCCCTGGAAGACCACTGATTACGCCGTTGCTCATCGACAACCATATCGTATTACTGGTGATCCAGCTTGATGATGATGATAGCAAGCCTTCGATCTCCGTGCTGGACTCAAAAGCATACCATATGACAGCAAAAAGTCGTGCAGAATTACACAGATGGGCGTGGAGATTGGTGATCGTGTCGAAATGGAATCAGGGAGTATTCCCTATATCCGAAATGAAACTTCACAGACCTGCACACGCGACCTGGGTGCCAGTGTCACAACAGCCTAGCGACAACGAGTGTGGTTACTACACCATCTTGAATGGCTGGTCCCTCGCGCTTGGTCTGACACCAGATCATACGGCCAACGTTGAATGGACAGACCAGTTCCACAGCGACTTGCAGGACGTAATTCATCTTGCTCGCATTGGACGGGCAGATTGGAGCTTGATCTACAATTTTCTTAGATGTTACAACTTCGTCCTAAATGGAGAGGTGCCTCCTGATCGCCGTTTCGCCCAAACCACAGCACTCTTGGAGGAAACAAGCGTTGGAGAAGTACAGGAAAACATCAACAGCATCGAGGACGTCCAATCCGCTGACCCCAATACCAAGACTCCGGATTTGAGCCAGCTGAGACACGCCAATAGGATAGCGTTACTCCCCGGAAGGCGACACAACCTCAGCGCTGCATTTCCGTCCGATAAGTGGAGCTCCGATGCCCGAGCAGATGCCAATGACTTGGCTCGAAATGGCAAGCTAGACCTCAATGCCAATGAAGCCCAACTCCGAAAAGCTCATGCAGATCTGCATAACGGCCGCGGGCCAGCCCTAAGAGAAGAGCTTCAAAAAGCGGACGCCAACTATAAGCAACAAGCCCAAGATGAGTTGCTCAAGACATGTCAAGACCACCTAACTAGGTGGCATACAGGTATCGACTTGTTGTTCCATGAACGATCTTGTGCATTCCTCCACGATACTTTGAACTTCTATCGCTACATCTTTCAAGAAGACTTCCTCGGTAACGTAATCCACAACGAAGCTTTCCCGCCCGGAGATTGGAACAAGTATCGAGAAGCTTCCGAAATCAACTTGGCAGTCTCCGCTGTCGTTGCAGCCATTGATGACTTACAATTGCAAAAACACCAAACGAGTGTCCCTGGTGTACCCTTCGCGGGTGGCTTCTCTCTTTCAACGAGCACAGATATCGCCATTGGTGCGGGCTCATCAGTTTCGCGCCCCAGAAGATGTTGGCTCATGCCCCTGAGCATCATGCAAGGAGGCTATCTAACTAGGATCAACCAGTGGCGCCAGGAGAACGGTAAGAAGATTCCAAAGTCTAATGGTGGCGCACAGGGGCACCATATACTGGTGGTTCTACAAGAAGAAGAGAAAGCAGAAGGGGATGAGGAAGAGAGTGAGGAAGAGGAGGGCGAAGAAGAGCAGAATGAGGGATTAACCAAGACTGGTTTTGCGATGTACTTCTATGACAGCGCGCCGGAAAATCTGAAGGACACACTGGTAGCTGAGGGAGTTGCAGGGCCATTGCCCGATATCGTGTCAGATATCGCTCCGGGGCTCCAATGGCTTCAGCATCGTAAAGGCGAAAAGAAGAAGAGCTATTCAATTTTCGAGGTACCTACTTCGAGGCAGCCGCACGGCGGGTGGCAATGCGGGCCTCACGTTATCATCAACGCGTGGATTTTGGCTTTGGGCTTACGCCCTGATCCTAGTAGAGAGTACGACGACGTCATATACCAGGAACTCCATGTACTCGCGCGTGCCGCCGTAGTTGGGCTACTGGATTGGCGAACTTTAGTCGCATGGATTTTCTGCCACAAGCTTGCTCTCGAGACGAGTATGGACAGCGTAACACCTGATCGTCACTTCAGGACTACAAGCTTCTGGGAAAACGAAAACGCCTTGGTTGATAGAATTCGAAGTTTGGAACACAATGATGTCCTTCTTGGGGCGATGTCTCAGAAGGAGATACCTTATGACAGAGGTAACAACCCTGTGCACGCAGGAGCTAAGTCACCGAAAGACGCAGAGAATGGAAAACAAAAAGGAGGAGAAAAAGCGTATCTTGCAAGAAGCTACGACGATATAGATCAAGAAATCCTCAATCAGCCTAGCTGTACGACCGGGAGACTGAGGGGAGGAGCTCGGACGATTTGTGGAGTTGATGAGGACTGCGATGTTAATATGATCAGCGGTAAGAAGCGCAAGTCGCGTGAGGGAGCCGGTAGCCATCACGACATCTTACGCAATCCCGAAAATGGGGATATGGAGGTTGCAGATGCAGCGCATCCGACGCCTTCAGGGAAGAGGCGGCGACTAGGCGATAGCTTGTCTTTTCTTGACGCATATTGAGTTGAGCGTTATTGTTGTATTTGTATCGCTGAATAATGTATGTTTCTAACGAATTGATGAAGATGTACTAAAAAGTTGTTGTGATCGCGAGCACCATCCTGTGATGTTTTTAACGGAAGGTGGGCAGCGGTAGCGGAGACGCGATCTCTCGGCAACCGATGACGTAGCCCCAAAACCTTCACGCGTCGCGATCCACGAACCCCAAACCTCCACCATCCCAACCTACTGCTCCCAACACAACCCTCGCACCCGCCAAAATGCTAAGACCGACCCTCCTCTCTACCCTGCGCCTCAATGCCTTCCCCAGCACCTCGAAACGCGCCTTCTCCCTCCTAAACCCCACGTCGCGCTCGCAAACCAACCGCATCTTCGACCCCATCCGCCAACCCAACGACCTGCACACACTCACACTCCTCAACGCCTCCGACAACCGCTCTCTAATAACCTTCTGGACCGCGACCTGGTGTCAAACTTGCCAGGCCATCAAGCCGCTCATCCGCCAACTCATCGAAGAAGAAAAGATCGGGGAGCGGGAAGGCGGACTGGGCTTCGTCGAGGTGCTGATGGACAGCACGTTGATTGAGGATCTGCCTATAAAATACCGCATCAGTAGTATGCCGACGCTGTTGGCCTTTTCAAGACAGGAGGCGCAGTTCGATACGAGGTTGACGCGCCCCGAAGAGATGCGGAACAAGGACTTCTTGAGGGAGTGGTTGGTGAAGGAGGCGCAGAGGGGAGGGAGGATGGGCGGCGGCGGGGGCAGTATGTTTGGTTAGTTTCACGTGTCCTTGTGTTGTGCTTGGATGGAATGCTGGGCCTGACGGTGTTCAAGGTGCGAAGGAAAATGGCGAGCAGGGCAAAGCGGGTGATGAGAAGTGACATGCGATAACCAAACATGGGACGGAGGTATGCTGTAGGCGCAACAAGGTGGCAGTGCGGTCAGGAGCTGTGGAGTAGCGAATGATCCGCGTTCGTGTGACACAGTGAGTGAAGTAAAGCTCGGTCCAGCAAACACTGTTATTCGACTCTCACGTGCGGGAGTGATTCCATAACCCCGTTTTCTTCTCTCACCTTTCTCTTGGAAAATTCCCTTCCTTCATCCACCAATAGATCTCTACCATGACAAAATTGCCGATAGACAAAGACTACGAGGCCGCTGTCGTGAAGGGTACTAGGCTACTCCAGATACTGGCCGCGAGGGACAAGACACAAGTTCAAAGCGCATTCGAGGAGGTACAAGAACTAGCCCAACGTGGCTACCTTCTGAAGCCTCAAGACAAGTTCTTTGAAATCGACTGTATCGCCGATGCGCTCTGCGATCTAGGTGTCAGCGACAAGATGGTGTATGATGGCGGAGAGAACATGAGAACACATCATGTGCATGACTGCGACGGAGCAGCAACGAGAGGAGATGATACGGTAAGTTTCGAGATGGGCTAAAGGTACGCGTGTTCTAATGAGCCACCAGACAACACACGGCTACTTCTCCCAAGTCAGCAACCCACTGTCTGGTGTCTTGATCGCAGACAGTAATCTCACTCGCACGCATGCAGCGAAATTTGATGACGCATGGGAAGAAGAAGCTATAGGACTATCGCCACTGCGACACTGGTCAGACGTAGCGTTTCTACAATACCTTTCTTCTTTCCCCGAACCACCCGTACGGCCGATTCCGCTCAACTACGTCTTCCGCGTTCAGATACAAAACGCGGAGACGTCTCTGGTGCTCAACAATATTATCAGCAAGCATGGCACGTTTACATTCGAGTTTTGGCCTGGTATCACGTTCGGAATGGACACTGAAGAAGGCAAGGCGATCTTAGGGACGCCGAATGGTTGTGGTGTCGCTTGGATGCTTATTCAACATAGTAAGGCGTTTGGAGAGAAGAATATTGAGAAGGTGACTTTGTTTCATGCGGCAAAGAAGGATGATTTGTTTAGATGGCCGACTTTGCTGTTTTGGATTGTGTAGAGTGGGGGTCAGGTGAGAAGATTGTATCTGCATTCACTTTACATTGAGCGAATTAGACAAAGGGTGGAACAGATTAGGCTACATGTCAGCTGCTTCGCGTCATACCGTTTGTTGACGATGCGCGTGACGCTCAACGTCTCACACTCAAGGAATTCATAAATGCATCTGGATAGCAACATACTTAGTACTACCGCGACCCGCCTGCGACACTTTTATAACTAGCATCCTCTCCGATGACAACCTCAGTCAGCCCGGCAACGCATTACGAGGCGGCTTACAGGAAAGGTCTATTGCTGTTTCAGATGCTGGAAGCTAGCCTTGGTGAGCTCGGTAATTTACTCAAAAACACAGATACGCCAACTGAAAGCGAACACCTCAAATACGAAGATCTCTTGGAGAACAATTGGGTTGAGCGGTCCTCCGGGGACGATTCCAAAATTCTGGCGCGACTGTTGGAGGACCTTGGAATCAACACTTCAAGCAATATCCCTGTTTCACATGAACACCACGGCGTTGCACCAATAGAAGAATCGCTACAAGAAGGACTTGAGATGCAGATACGCTTCGACTCAGTCATCAACACTTCCGGTGGTATGATTGCAGCCATGAACACGTACAGTCCTGTGCATGATTGGAGAAAAGCGAAAGCGGATGCCGAGAATGCTCTACTAAAACAAGCCGGCCGCAAGTCTATGGAAAAAAATAACGTTGGCGATGACGTCCCTGGCCTGAAGTACTGGTCAGATGTCGCATACCTGCAATGGGCCTGCCGTAACACGGACTCATCCGACCTACGTTATGTGATGCGGATGAGCATCACAAACGAAAAGACAAAAGCAGTCATCCAGCATATCAAACAACAAGCCTATCCCAATGCTTCAGGCTCATACTCATTCGACGTTGAGGACCGGGATCAGGTATCCGCTTTTCTGGGGACACCGAATGGAGCCGGAGTCGCTTGGTTGCTCATACAGCATAAAAAGCAGTTGAGGCATAAGACAGTTCACAAGGTAACGGTGGATTGTCGCGAGATCTGGCATAAAAGCAAGACGATTGTTCCAAGCTTGGTGTTCCACCTTCGCGACGTGGTTGCTCCGAAGCCAGGCAGCGAGAAAGGTGATTGAGGGAAGTCGCTATGAGGGCAGAATGAGCGTTGCTCTAGCAATATGTCAGGCCACGCGGACAATGAGATGGCAGACAGTAGAACACTCATGAAACTAGCCCGTGCTTGATCCACTGGAGATTCGTGGAAGGTAGAAGACATTGTTTCACCAGCCTCATATATGAAGAACACTCGCTTCCTCTCTTTCCCAATAACATCTCACACTAAGCCATGCCCACGATGACAAACTCATATATCAGTAATCTGGACTACAAGACTGCCATGGAGAAAGGCAAGAAGATACTCAAAATGATGCATGGCGGATCTGCTGCCACGCAAAGCCCAACCTTCACGCCCGAGGAAGTAGGAGCAATGGGATACAAGAGAACAAAAAGGCCTCGATCTGTGTCTGGCCTGTCAAAAAAGTTGGACAGTCTCGGTATTCAAGTTTCTAACTCTCACTTCATCAATGTTACAGACGATTACACGAAAGACGTTATCACTGGCGAAACACTTGCAAGCGTAAGCGAAGTGAGATTCATGTCCGATATCAACGTTGAAGCTGGAATTCTCGTGGTGAACTACAGCTACAGCCCGACATACAAGGCCGAGGCGTTGAAATCGCTGTCGACCGCTCTGTTACCCTCGTTGAAGCACTGGTCCGATATAGCCTTCCACCAATGGGCTCATTCTGTTCACACCCAGAAAAAAGAAGTACACGATCTCAACTTCATCATGAGAGAAAACATCTCGAACGAAGATACTTTGGCCGTCATTAATAGTATCCTCGACGCACCACCTCGCCAGTCACAGGCTTATACGCGGTCGGGACTATACCTAGACATGAACAGCGACCATGCCATCGCTCTGCTGGGCACAGCACATGGTTCAGGTGTAGCTTGGTTACTTGCGCAGCATCGAGACCAACTTGGCCGTAAGGTAATTGCTGGGATAAGGATATTCTACAGCGACGAGCCGCCAGAGGGCGACAGAGCCCTCAACTTGCTTTTCTACCTTCGTGACGCCAGTGCGAGTAAGAAACCTATCGAGAAGTTGTGAGGAACGATGTCGAGCAAAGAGCGCGGCGGACGATATTTTGGGTAGGCGCAGGCGTTTAGCGGCGGTAGTTCGTAGTAATGACAATCTTGCTGAATTGGATCAAAACTGAGCAGTTCCTGGTGGCGATTGAGATCGTTGTCAGCGTAGAGGCCTAGTATGAATGAACAATTGGCGTTCCCGGTAGCGATGATGAATGGGCAGGCAGTCGCGAGGCTTGGTGGCTGGGACTGGGAGCCGGGGGTGACCGGAAGCGAGGCGCACCCCGCAATGACCTGCGCGTCCCGCATCTTCATCACGATCTTCGCGTCTCCTTTCTCTCATCGTTTGCTTCTTTGTGTGATCTTGTCTACTGAAATCAAATTTTGATCTTCTGCCCTTCCCCAGCAGCTCGCCATATGCGGTTGTCGAACGACAACAAGCGAACTTTACGCGTCATTAGCGCGAGCTGCACTGTTTACTCAATAGCAACCGCATACACGGGATGGCCATGACGCTCTTATGCTTTTTAGTTGCGGAGACGGCTCCTAAGCCTCGGCTTCGCGCACTAAGAAGTGATTTTGTTTGGATGGAAACCTTACAGCGCGATGCACGCCAAGCTGGAGGTGGCTTGCGACGAAAGTGTTGACCTCGGTTTCGCGTCAATGAAAAGACAAGGCTTATATAAAGAGATCAAGATACTGCTTGATGACAGTGCACGGGTAGTAAAACCACAGTGCCGCCGACATGTTCTTATCTTCTACATTGGGCTCCGTTGGTCTCCTGTTCTTAACCAGCGGCGCGACGACAACCTGGGCAGACTATGCGTCCGGACACGATGTACCAACCGCAACTATTGACGCGGGTGTCATAGTTGGAAAGTCTACCTCACTTCCCCATGCACTTGGACCAGTGCATCAGTTTCTAGGTGTGCCCTTTGCATCACCACCCAAGAGATTCTCTCCACCGCGAGCTGCAGAACCCTTCCAAGGGCCAGTCAATACCACCGAGTTCAAACCAGCATGTATCCAACAATTTCGATGTACGCGAACCATGCAAGCGATTTGATATATGCTAATTAGGGTAGACCCGTTGTCGAGTTCACAGTTCACGCAGGCCGTCTTCAATAACCCGCCACCTGAAGAGTCGGAGGATTGCTTATACCTTAATGTCTACGCACCATCGACTCCCGCAGGCGGCAATGGCAGGGCTGTAATGTTCTGGATCTACGGTGGCTCACTACAGTTCGGTAATGCTGGCCAAGAACAATATGACGGAAGCAGTTTCGCAGCATACGAAGATGTCATAGTTGTGACGACGAACTACAGAACGAACAGTAGGTAACTATTGACACCCCAAATCACATGTTTCATACCTAACAGCTCCCAGTATTTGGCTTCCCTGCTTCACCAGAACTGCTATTAGCAGAACGCAATCTCAGAACTTTAATAATTAATATAATAATCCTAACCGCCTATTCTACCTAGCACTTATTACTTATACTTAATAAGCTATTTAGTAATAAGACTAACTACTTCTGCGTATACTAATATATTCTTAATAACCTAGTTATTACTATAACGTTTAAGCCCTTATATAAAGTTAGAATTGTTACTATTAAGAACATAATCTTCTTTAAAAAGATTATTAATAAGCCTAGTAAGAGCTTTTTCTTTATTTTCTAACTAGGCTACTACCTTCTAGTCTTCTATAATATAATTAGTATTTATTTATTAAAATTTATATAAGAGCTCTTACTTTATTAGCTAAATTGCGTTATAAGCGTAATAGTATCTTAATAATAGAGCCTAACTCTTTATATTCTATCTAATAATATGTTATATTTATAAATATTTTTAGCACGCGCGTTTATAAGTACTAGATCTTTTAGAACTTTAGTTTATACTATACTATATTAGAGAGGTTAGCTATATATTAAGGCTAAGCGTAAAAGTCTTATTAAATTAGGTATCTTAGCTTTGTATTTTATTATTTAATACATTATTTTCTTAAAGTATAAAGTTTTTTTTTAATATACTTATTACTAGGCTATAGCTTTACTTATAAGACTTCTATATTTAAAGTACTATAGTATATACTATGCTACCTATAAAATAGCAACTTTTTTAAGCTTATAACCTCTTTAGAATATTAAGAACTTCTTTAAAGAATTCTTTTTTAACTAATTTATAAGTCTTTTGTTTATACAGAAACATATAAATAATTAAATAATTATTATAACGCAATCTTAGCTTCCTTAACCAACGTTTTGCCCTCGAGTGGGTACAACAAAACATCCACGCTTTCGGCGGCGATGCGTCTAAAGTCACCATCTTCGGCGAGAGCGCGGGTGCTTTCTCAATCGACGCGCTCTTGACTAGTTTCCCCAAGGAAAGTTCACCACCATTTCGGGCCGCCATCCTACAAAGCGGGCAGTACAGCTATCGCGCAGCTCCTGCAACATCGAGTATTCCCGCTTGGAACAATCTCACAGCGACGCTCGGGTGCCCAGGAACACATGAGAGCAACTTGACTTGTGTAAGGGCGGCTGATGCGACGACTGTGCAGACCATCATTAACCAAAACTCGCTCGTCTTCAACCCAGTTGCTGATAATACCACATTGGTATCAAACCCGGCGGCCCAACGCCTAAGCGGCGACATCGCGCATATACCAGTACTCGGAGGTACAAACTCCCAAGAAGGCCGCGTCTTCTCAGTTGGCCAAACAAACGTTACTGCCTACTTGCAAGCGACCTTCGGCGCCGCACCAGCACTCATTCCCGCAATCGAAGCTGCATACCCAATCGGTAGCAACGGTTTGACCAACGACTACGACGTCATCTCACAGATTGTTACTGAGATCACGTTTCAGTGTCCACAAGCACTATGGGCCAATGCGACAGCATCTATTGGTATCCCCACCTGGCGTTACTACTTCAACGCCTCTTTCGCCAACACACAAGCTTATCCCCAACTCGGTGCCTATCACGCTTCTGAAATCCCTCTCGTGTTCCGCACATACCCCCTGGCTGATACGACGACGCAAGAGTACGCCTTGGCACAGTTCATGCAGAGTACATGGGCCAAGTTTGCGAAGAACCCTTATGCTGGACCTGGATGGAACGCTGTCGGTACGGGTGCTGAGGGTAATGTCTTGGTTGGTGCCTATGACTTTGTGGCAGGTGGAGTATATCAGGACCAGAATGCCACTGCCGTAGAAGGAGACTGGAACTTGGGTGTTCTCGGCGATGTTGGAGGTGTGAGGGGAAGTGGTGTTACTGTGCTGCCGCAGTCTGATCTTGATTACAGATGTAGTCTGTTCAGGCCTATCTTTGAGGCTAATATGGGTTCGCAAGGTATACCTCCATCTTGAGGTAGAGGGCATAGAAGGTGATTTCCAACACAGTCACATGAAACGCTAAGATCGTAATGTTAAATTATGATTTCATCTAAGCGTCTTGTGATGCTGCTACTGTACCACCAACTCCTTCAACCTATCGTCCGCCAGCAATCTGTCCAATATCCACTCCACTCCGATCCAACTCACCACCCTCATGCATACTCCTCTCCACGCTGTCAATCAAACTCTCGCTTCCGGTTTTGGTCCCGACACCGCTACTCCCCTCGTACTCTTGCTTAGTGCTTTGTGTTATATCTTCTCCGCGGCGCTGCTCTGAAGTGTCTGAGGCGTTTTGCTGGCCGGGTGCAGCCTATGACTGTAAGTATTTTCCTGGGTGATACAACCTTTCTATTATGATGCATGGTAGGTATGAGGTGTTATGTCAGGCGAGGAGCTTACCTTATCCACGGACGCGCTCAAACCAACGGGGTCAGTCGACTGACCAGTCTTGAACGGAACGCTCGTGTCACCCTTGAATGTGCCGGCTGTGTCTTCGCTGGGGTTGACGGGGTTCTTGGGTTGGGTGTTTGAAGATTCTTGACCTGTCAGGGAAGACATGGAGTGTATGCTTTGGTGGAATTAAGTATGAGAGGTCTCGTTGTTTAGCTTTTCGTGTGGTGAGCAATCTGTCTCTGATCAATGCTTTGACACACGGCCGTGAAGTAGTTTTGTAGGATGGCGTAAGCTGGAGTCGATGGTGCAGGTTCGACGTCATAGTGACTCAAGATGGAGACGTGGGTATCTGCAGTGGCGAAGTGGTTGTCGGCTTGAACGCGAGAGATGCGCGTTTGCTTATGCCTTTGACGAAGCAACACTGTCGATTGAGAAGCGTTCCCATTTCTTCATGATCTCACTATCAATTGAACATTCCTCGATCTCATGATATCAAAGTTTTGTTCCATGCAGAACGCTCCCTGCGCCGACCGAGTAATGCTACGCAGATTATCCATGTCTATAACTTGCTCTTGCCAATACCCCAAACCTCAGCCTGAGGGTTATTCGACTTCTTGTTTATGGACGCGCCTCCAGCGACAGGCTTCTCGCCCTCCTCGACGAACAGCGATTGCGACTGCTTCATGGTCTCGACGGCTTCGCGCTCGATGCGGTCAAGGAGCTCTTGATTGGTGGGGATGTCGTGGATGAGGCCAATTACTTGGCCAGCAGTCCATACCTAGGTTTGTCAGTCAACCACACTCGAAAAGGGGGATGTAAACTTACACCAAAGTCCGGGTCTCCGTTCAAGAAGACTTGCCGACCTCGCTTTCCACTGACGAACTCAGCGACTTCCTCGAACTTGCCAGTTGGGCTTGTCTTCTCGACCTCAACAGCCTGCAGCGCAACCTTGTTGGCGAAGAGTCGCGATGTGTTCTTCCACCGGCGGAGTACGAGCGCGGTATCTGTCTCTTGCGCGTCGACGATGGCTTGCTTGATGTTGTGGTGAATAGGCGCTTCGATGGTGCACATGAAGCGGGTTCCCATGTTGATGCCACAGGCTCCGAGAGAAAGCGCTGCAGCCAAACCCTGGCCATCGGCGAAACCTCCAGAAGCGATGAAAGGCACACCACCTAATGATTGCCTAGCCCTGCTGAGCAGGATGAAGTTGGTAATGTCCGTCTCGCCAACGTGTCCGGCGCACTCGAAGCCATCGATGGACAGGAAGTCAACGCCAAGCTTCACCGCAGACTGTGCGTGCCTAATAGTAGTGCACTTGTGCAAGATGATGGTGCCAACCTCCTTCAGCTGCTTAATCACCGGCCCTGGGCTGTTTCCCGCTGTCTCGACAATGTTGACCTTCTCCTCGATGATGACGCGGGCGTATGCGGCATAGTCCGGGGGGACCATGGCGGGGAGGAGCGTCAAGTTGACGCCGAAAGGCTTGTTGGTCATCGTTCGGCATCGGCGAATTTCTTTGCGAAGGTCTTCGGGGGTGGGTTGGGTAAGGGCGGTCAACTATGCCATCGTGAGAATATGTTTGATGCGTGATGGGCGCCCGACATACTATTCCCAGACCTCCTGCGTTGCTAACAGCGGAAGCGAGTTCGGCGTATCCGACCCATTGCATACCACCTTGAACGACGGGCACTACATCTGTCAGCTACCGTCTCGTTTGCTGTGCTGGTGAAGTTACCTCTAATGCCGAGCGCCCTCGTCAGCTCCGTGTTGAAAGGCATCCTGATTGTAGATGGCCCGAAGAAAAGATTTAGAGTTTGTTGTATGAGAGGGAACTGCACAGGAGCCTTGAGCCGAGCAGATATCTGACACTCGGACGCGCGACGTTACGGCCGTCGCGCCGGCTGAAGCGCATGTCATTCGTGTGGGGAAGCCATGTGCCTCGGTAACTCCACAGCCGCGACACCAAACGCAGGTGCCCGACCGTCGGGTGATTAGTTTGCGCTGACTCTATCGCCGAATGATTCGCTGTCACCGAGTCGCTCGTGATGTCTTTGCTCGAATGGCAGCTGTGCCCGAGTGGTGTTCCGGACGCGTCGCAAAAGGGGAAAGCTGAGCCGCAGGGCTGATGCCGTCATCTCCCTGGCATGTTCACATGTGTCTTGGCAATGAACCATCACTCCAACACCACCCCTACGCATCTGAGCGATCAATTTTTAATCATCTCCTAGGACTCATAAAGGCTGGAATCAGTCGCATCGCGAAAGCAAATCTCGCAGTTTCTCGGAAGCTATCCTTAGTCCAGGTGGACTCCGCGTTGGAGCAAAGAACCTAGGAAACAATACTCTGGATTTCAGCTGCCTGGCTGCACTCATAGCACTTTATCAAGGGTCCTTCTCATGGTCTCTGACTTCCCTATCGCGTTATCTATGTCTGCCCAAACCTGGACTTCTGCATGAAGCCACGTTGTTTGACTTGCGAAATGGGCAAACACAACAATGTTGCGCTGGATTCTGGACCTCCGCAAAACCCGACTAGAGTGGAAAGACAATCGCTACTCTATGGCATGACCCATTGTGGAATATCTCATCCGTTTTGGGCCAGCATCAACCCGCATCAACGATCAATCATCGAGATTGCACGATCGTAAGACTGGTTCAGAATAACGGCAGCCCGACTATCCGTTTGTTGCTTACCGACCGTTGTAAAGCCAGCGGGATTACCAAGAGCTTAGTATGCTTCCAGGCCACGTGAGTTTTGGTCCAGACTATGGAGCGTCCTTCGATACCGCGTCTGTCTGGCCTACTGAAACTTCGAACTGCAATCCCTTCCCAGTATGGCCTTACTGTCTACTCTGGCTGGTGTCGTAAGCTTCTTGAGATCGAGCAATCTTTCACGCTCGACATGGCTGGCGATCCTGAAAAAACTGAAATTCACGATGCGCAAGAAACGTGATGGATCACTCACCAACGGACTTCATATTCCTGATTTAGCAATCATCTTTGTCGAGCTTTTGAGGGAGTTTTGTCTCGAACATGCGGAGTGAGGTAAGAGATCTGCATCTAGGCCGACTGTCCAAGACGATACTCAGAAAGCTCATATCATAGGATCCATAGGTACCATGGAATGTCACATTGTAGTCGCATTGGAAGAGCGCTATTTAGTCGATGTATGGTTGGGACAGCGTCACGTATCCATGCGCGTTGACGGGAAGCTCCAACATGTTGTAGTATATACCTAACCCATCGTGATCGTTGTCAAAACCACGCTTGAAATCGAAGTTCTATGACGGGAAGGTACATGCTTAGGCACGCAGGTCCATGCTTGGCAGTGACGTAACGAGCCAATGACATAATTCAACCCCAGCAAGCCCACTAGGTGGACGGTCGTTGCGGGGATTTTGGGAGGCCTACTTCGTTGGGGTCTCCACACACACGTCCGGTATATAGACCGAGATGCCAGGCTCGGCGCGTCCAAGAGGAATCCCGCACCCTGATCCCCATGACCCATCATGTCGTGGTCTCTTCTTCTCACCATCCTGACCCAGGTCGTCCGTGTTACATGCGCACCAGAGACATATGACTATGTTATAGTTGGAGGAGGCCCCGCAGGTCTTCTAGTCGCGAACCGACTGTCTGCCGATCCCGAAGTCACTGTTGCCATCATCGAAGCCGGAGATTCTGGCTACGATAATCCCAATGTCTCATACGTACCGAAGTCGATCTTGGAGTACGGCCTCTTCATCGGCACGTCGATTGACTGGAAGTACATGACGGCACCTCAGAAGTATGCTGGGAACCGGAGCGTGAACTACTGGGCAGGCAAGGCTTTGGGAGGCAGTACTACGGTCAATGGAATGACGTACATCCGCGCGGAGAAAGAGCAAATTGATGGGTGGGAAGGGCTTGGCAACGAGGGTTGGAACTGGGAGAGTCTACTCGAATACTACCTAAAGCAAGAAGGCTTTAAAGAGCCGAGCGAGGAGCTTTCGAAGGAGGGCGCGACCTTCAGGGACGGCGTACATGGAACAGAGGGAGAGCTTGCTGTTGGCTTCACCCCATACCTGGTCCGTCAAGGCTTCGCCAAATTGTTCGCGGACACCTCCCAGGCGATGGGCATTCCTTACAATAAGGAACCCAACAATGGTAGTATGCGTGGTTTCGACGTGTGGCCTATGACACAGAATGTGAGTGGGCCTACGAGGGCAGATGGAGCCAGGTCCTTCTACTTCCCCGTTGCGTCACGCCCCAATCTCCAGGTCTTCTTCAATACCACTGCTGCACGCATCATCTGGAACGATGAATCATCCGAGACGTCGGAAGTGGTGGCCTCGGGAGTTGAGGTGATCAATGCGGGAAATGTAACGAAGACTATCGGTGCCTCCAAGGAGGTCATTGTCGCAGCCGGCGCCATTCGATCACCGGCATTCCTTGAGCACTCAGGTGTAGGTAATCCCGCCATACTTGAACCTCTCGGTATCAAGACTGTCAATCCACTCCACTCGGTCGGCTCCAACCTGCCAGATCAACCGCAGCATGGGATGGTCTTCAACTCGTCCACGAATTGGACGGGCTATCCTACCTTCGTTACATTTTTGACAGCCTCTGATCTCTTTGGCGAAGAACTTCCCGCTCTTGTGGAAGAGCTCCAAGCCAATGTGAGCGCTTATGCTGCAGCGGTTGTCGCAGACTACGCGCCCGATACCATCTCCGTCGAGACGCAAGAACGGCTTCTGCAACACCAAGTAGACTTAGTCTTCACTACTGAGAGCGATGTTCCTTTAATAGAGATCCTCTGGGCTCCGACAGGAAATCAGATCATTGCGCAGCTTTGGGACCTAATACCCCTTTCTCGAGGCTCAATACACATCGAATCCGCCGATGCAACTATACCACCAGGTATCGACCCAAACTTCTTCCAGATGCCCATCGACATGTATGTGCAAGCAGCTGCTGCAATTCGTATCCGCGAGTATTTCGCCACTTCGCCGCTCGCGGAGGACGCTACAGGCGAGGTCTCTCCCGGTTACGAAGCGGTACCGCAAGGTGCTCATTGGAGGGATCAAGTCTGGGACGACTGGATCACAGGCGCCATGAACGGCAACTCGCATCCCGTGAGTACTTGCGCAATGATGAGTAAGGAGCTGGGCGGTGTGGTAGATACAAAGGGCAAGGTTTACGGGACGCAAAACGTCCGGGTTGTGGATGCGAGTGTGTTCCCGACTCAGATCTCGGGCCATCTTAGCGCCAGTGTATATGCCATTGCTGGAAAGATTGCGGACGCGATGAAGCAGAAGGTGTCCGGCCAGAAAAGGTTTTGACAAGACTTCTGCTTTGTAGCGCTTCCGATGTTGGCGGCGTATTGCTATCACACTGTAAAAGTCCCAGATTGTGTAGGTCTTCGCCTCCTCCGGGTCAATAGAGAGCTGCGTCAGTGAGAATGGTGCGTGATTAGCGCAAAACAAGAACAGAGTTCAATTTGATGGAGAAGCGTGTACTGTTCTTTTTTGAAGGTGATGCTCCCTCCTGACAGGTGATCGGAAAAGGGACCTCAGGATGGTGCTGCACTGCCCCACTTTTCATTCCAGGGCAGCCGCCCCGCGTCATCGACCTTTAGGCAAGAGCCGTGCGCTTGGGTATGACGAGCCCACCACAAACTCCCAGCCTTCGCTATCCAATATCCAGCTGTGGTCCTCAAAGCCGACGCGAAAGCATAATGCCATCGTTCATGGGCCTTCCGCGTGAACTACGTGATCAGATATGCGAATACGTCATACTTTCGCCAGCCCGGCAGCCACGAGCGCTCAACCAGACAACCGAAGAGATTCTCGAAGGATACACGACTTATGAGTTTCCGACGCCGTTCGTGCGACCGGGTCCATCGTATCAGCCCCAGGCAATCGTCTCGAATTCGACGAGATTACTGCTAGTCAATCAACAGCTGAGAACGGAGACAACGGAGATGCTACAACGAATGCGAAGCATCGTGTACGACCTCGATCTTGTAATGACCGACAATGGGATATTGGCAGCGACGTGGATCAATGTTCCAGTTTTGTCGACCAGAATTGAGCAGCTGAATGTCACACTTCGTCTCTGTGTGACAAACGATAGCGAACGACTGAAGTCTGAAATTGAAGACATGTTAGGGGCGCCGGCAAATCCAGGACCTGAAGATCTCTTTGGGATACTACCTAAGCAGTGTAAGGAAAGCCTTCCCTCTATTAGTATTAGTACTACATACTAACCACTCACCTCACTGTTCTAGTGGTATGGGGCTTCTATGGCATATTCAACCGATTTACCCATGTTGGGCCTCTGGGCGAAAGGAAGAGCGACAATGAACACCGGCAAATATCCATCAGAACGATCAGCATCAACGTCGAGACACCATCTCCCGATCTTGCGCAGCTCGGTCTGATTCATATGTCCGCTGAGGCCGACGCTGCAATGTCGGTTACTTCCCGGTACTTCTTGGTGTGTCTGAATTGGACTATACAACAACAGCTGGAAGGGAATTGGGAGTATATCCGAAACATCACTCTGCTTGAGTACGTAGATCATGTTCTGATCTATCACGACGGCAATGAGATACATCGCTGGGATGTAGCCGCGTGCCTTGCAGAGTATCCTGAAGATGAAATGATCAAGTGGAGACCAACTGGCAAGAAAGAGGCCTGGCGCAGAAGGAAGCACAGAGGACTGAAGGTGCCCGAAGACTTTAAGGATCCGGCCGGATGGTGATACCAGACTGCAAACACGAGGAAGCTGTTGAGGTACGAGATGGTCTTACGAGGTTCTCCAGGAACGGCACAAGACCACAGGCAAAGGAGAACCGCTTTCACGCGACCGCTTCACGTGACGGGTCGTGGCTTAGCAAGGCTAACGTGCAGACCGCTGTCGATCATTCTAATACACGATCAACAGTCACTTACCAAACGTCCGCTTTCTCTTGCGATAAAACTAAATTCACTATTCGTACTTCAGCTCACTCTTTCTACTGCTGATCGACCAATCTCGACAAATGAGCCCGAAGCGGTAATCCGAAACAATGACGCTTGTTGCGCTAGACAACATGCGGTTAGTGACCTCGAGGAATCAACCATATTGGGATAGCGATCTACGAGGCCTGGGGCTTGACTGTGCTTGATGTTGTTTGGCATCTATTTACTGGCAAGGCTGAGTCTCGAGAAATACGCCCGTTTTGGAGATAGCTGGGGGCCTGGAATAATATGCGCGGTTTATCAAAGCAGCTCCGTATTGTGTTGAGCGTGACGTTTGAGATACTTATATCTAGTGCCAGACCACTCATCGCAAAGCAACATAAGCTCGATACCATACTATCATGATGCCATTAGAACTTCTTCCATACCAGAGCCACTCTTTCGACCGGCCGCATCGAGCACTTGGTTCATACAGCGCTGCACCGTTACCACCGACTAGCTTGTCTCCACCGGATGATGAGTTGTCACGTCACGCGATAGATTGGTCGCCCTGCATTTCAGATCCAGTTCAGTCACCACAATCTCTTCAAGTGAGCCACTCTTCAAACATTGCCAGTAAACCTTGCTGACCTGTCTAGAAACCCGTCGTGATACCAAGACTCGATGCAAGCGGTCTACTTGGAACACCATTCCCATTTATACGAGCATACAGCCCCGATCTGCGCCGCTTCAATATCCACGAGAAAGACTTTGTAGCATTCATTGATGATCTCAGTGTCGCTCAAGCTCCGCCAGTTCCGCTTCAGGCACTTGATGCAGCGGGTCATGTGGTTGGCATCGTGTGAGTTGACTCCTTTTTTTGGCTCTTACCGGTTTTTCATAGAAGTACTAGGCCACATCACTGGACGATGATGGCCGGCGCCAGTATGAACATGGTCGCAGGAGTTGGAACGGCTGCTACGACAACTATGCGAACGCGGCGCTTCTTGGAGGCTGTGAATCGAGAATACTTCGCGCCTCGTGGCCTGGAAGCTTCGATTTGCAAGAACAGGCAGTTGGAAGAGAAGCTTGGCTGCAATGTGCACATGCCATCGTCGGCGTAAGTTTAGCCCTGCCGTAAGGATTCCCTGTTTCTGACTTCGCAAAGAGCCTTAGGAAGTAGCTCTCGGCCTCAAACAGCTGGATACCGACGATTGCAAGCGCTCACGCCCTACATCGCACCGCTATCATTCAACGTACCACCGCCAATGGAGCAACGAAATTCTCTCGACAGAATGGCTGCAAAGCAGATCGAACGGCGTATTAAGAAGAAAGAAGAAAAGGGCTACAGCTCAGACTCAAGCTCTAGTTCAGAGTCTAGCATCAGCTCCAACAAAGAGTCCGCCCTGGTATCTCATGATGAGGTCAACGGCAAACAAAAGAGAAGAGCGAATAAAGCGGAGCGCAAACGAGCAAAGAAAGAAGAGAAGAAGGCGCGAAAGGAAGAGAGGAGATCTAGGAAGCGGGACCGGAAAGGGGCCAAAGCTCATGTTAAGGAGGGTAAGAAGTTGGAGAAAGAACAGAAGATGGTCGAGAAGATGGAGTATATCATCATTGAGTCGCTGGATGAGGGGATGTAGTGATAAAGAGACTTCGTTGACTTGTCACGAATGCCCATGTTTATGCGACAAAACGGTTGTTCTACCTTTTTAATTGATTACGACCTCACTTGCGAACATCTAGGATGCTTTTAGCGGATCTCCAGGGCCCTCGTCTACCAGCCGACATGTCTTGCATGACAGATGTGATCCATGATGCTATTGTCGGCTCCTTCTCGCGGATCCCATCGTATGCCATGCGCAGAGGAAAGAGCAGTTCAAAAGAGCCCTGTTCGCCCCAGTCCTCTAGCTGATGGTACTCGACGCTACGACATATAGTGAGCGCCGCTGTCGATATCTGCTGCTGTCGGGTATGGTACGCTGAAGATGACATCATCTCAGCATCGATGCTGTCGGCGAACCGGAGGGCCATGATGGTAGCGGCGTTATAGACTGTGATAGCGTTCGCGTGATAGAGTGATCGGTATCTGAAGGCAGTAGACCAGGCTGGATGCAACGCGCCATACTCGTCTTCTATGAGCGGTATCGGTTGACATGCGGGTGTCTCGTAAGAGGTGTGAAACGGATCAGACGCAAAAGTCTCCCTCCAGTTCTTCAGTTTGGCGATGACCTCATGACATTGCAAAGAGAGACATTGCGTCTCAGCAGTCCTTGTGTCTTCATCCGCAACTGACAAAAGCTCATCACGCAGAATGAAGAGCTGAGGGTAGTCGGCAATAATGTCGAACAAGAGCTTGAGCGAGTCGATGTGCTCAGGGTGTAAGCTCCAGGGGATGTATTTCCATTTGTTCTCCGACATTATCGTTGGCTTGTGCAAAACAATAGCTGCAAAGATAAGAGACGGGCGAATCCTATCCAAGATCCCAAGACACTGAGGTGATGCCATAGCTTCAGGTCCGCGCAACTCGAAGAGCCTTTCTAGCCCACGTGCATGGTTTATCCAACCATCGACACGATCCGAGATGAGGAACTAGTAGCGGTTAGAAAATGTGTGCACTGCAGAACGTTTGATGTACCTCGATGAGTCCCATAAGCATGACCGCCTCAATCAGATCAAAGGAAGGCGGAGACACCGAAGCCTCAAGAGCCGAATGCACGGCTCTAAGTGCGTCACTGTACCTCTTGAATCCGTACTGCGTGATAGCTCTATCCTGGTGCTTGATGCCGAAGTAAGAAGTCGCAAGCGCAGAAAGTGACTTGATGGTAATAACCCCAGGATTGAACACCAACAGGCTTTGCACCGGCAGTAAGTTTGAGAGAGTGAACGCGGTGAAGACATCATCGCGAGAAGGCGACAATGCTCGATGAATTTCCTGGTGAAGTCGAGTAGGAGTGTCAGGCGTTCTGGTGCCGACTTCCACCGCTAAGCACCCGGCGACATCACGTTCGCGATCGCTAGGCTGGGCAGACTGGCCGTGGCCATCGAATTGTACGAATGTGATGCCGCGGGTGCCACCACATTGCAGTCGTGCTGTGACGCACCTTCCGCATTGTGGCTTTCGTAGATCTCGTGACGTCAACACACGCGTCGGAATAGCACAGGGGTAAACAGGGCAAACCTACCACATTTGACGCGTCGACTTTTGCAGTTATCGCACGCTCTGGACCGCCCGCCAACTCCGACCATGTGAAAGATGCATGCTAAGATGGATGAGATGAGGAAGATACAAGACTGCAGGAGATGACGAGTCACCGTCAGCATGGCGCGTGCGCGGCGCTATATTCGGCCCTCATCTCACAAGGATGCGCCTGTGAAGACGCACATAAATTCAACGATCGATCGAGGGGTAGCTTTAAACCTTATATCCTCCATGATGTTGACTTCAGTCTTTGTTCGTACTACGTACATCGAGACGTGAGCAGATGCCACTTCCGCACAGGCAAGACCTCAAGCTTTCAGATCTTCAGGTCGTGGTGAACATGATCAACCCTGAGAGCCCTAAAATATACCTTCGCGCCGCAGCAAACCTTGCCGAACTTCTTGTTTCCACTGCAGCCCCTTAATTGTTTCCAAGCCTTCTACAAAGTCATATCCAATTGTCCATAAGTCGCCGTTACGCCTGTCATCAGGTTTTTGTATCCAAATCGCTTTGAGAGCCCTCTGGCCATGGATTGCGAATGCAATGTCCCAAGTACACCATTCAAGTTTTTCAGTGGTACCTCGAAAATTGAGGGTGAGGCGATCACATCGTTGAATCCAGGTGAGTTCCGCCGGGTCGTAATTGTCCCTAAAGAAAAGCTCCAGGCACATTACGCGGGTACTTTGAAGGTGGTCCAGCGGACAATCCACATGGGTAGAGAGGTTGATTGTCGACCATGGTAGGTGCAATACCGGCTGGAGAGCTGCTACGCATCGTTTCAATGAAGCCCGGTTAAGGCCACCCTGGAGCCATGATCCTGAAATCGGCATGCTAATGTTGCCTTCGCCAGCTCCTCCTGCCAAAATCGAGGCTGGTGATGACTCTATCTTCAAACAACGGCCGTATGGATGCTCATCTTGCCACTTTCGAGTAGCGAGGATTAGAGGTTTAACTTTAGCTATATCGTCCTCCATTTCGTTGTACGTAGTACGGCAACTAAAGAAAAGGCCGGAGATATCCTGTGGACGTCCAGGAGTGATGCTGTCGACAATAAGGTGCCTATAGACCTCGACTCGAAGCTCTGTCGGAAGGATGAGAATCATATTCGGTATAATGCGTGGGTTGTTTAGATACCAAGGTGAGGGGAAGTGATCGTTACAGTTAATGCTTCCTGCTCTTATATATCGGAGCATCGAATGCAAAGAATTAACCTAGTTTCAGAGCACGGATTTATCTCTTGCTGATTCAATGACGTTGTGAGGTGATTCATTGTGTAGGAAGTGAGAACAAACGGGTTGGATGATGATTTGTGCAAATTTACGTAGATTAGAACGGAACAGATTGTACAGGGTTGAATGCATGAGCTTTGCGATCCCACCTTGCATCAGTACGCCACCTTGACGGTGTAAAAATATAGCAACATACACTCCGAAAGGCCGGTACGCAATCCTCATCCAACCCCGCAAACTCAGTCGACATAAACCCCTCAAATAGCACTACCCCTGATAAACCAATCTATACGCTCATGCCTCCACCCCGGCAGCTTCAATCCGCCCCTAAAATCCACTCCCCACAGCCTCTTCGTCGACCCCTCAGTAAGAAAGCACCACGGACCATAAAAAGCTCCAGACGCAGGAAGATACACGCCCCCATACTGCTTCCCGTGCACAATCTTCACAATGAATCTATCCTCCACGTGGGAATCTTTCTGAAAGGTTAACCGATCAATGTATCTCTTCAGCCTAGCCTTCTCCAAAAACTCTTTTCCCCATATCTGGTAGAAGGTGCGGAAGAAGAAATCGCTAGACGCGAGGAGTTGTTTATTGGTATATCGACGTTCCACTCCGAAACCGAAAGGGCAGAGGAGGAGACGAAGGCCGAAAACCGCAAAGTCTTCCGTGCGACGCAGCATGTTGTGCTTAGTCCTTTGAACGGGGTTTCTGCGCTTGCGATCGCGCGGTGCGGTGATGGCGAACTCAGTGAGCGGATTGATGTACGTGTGTGAGGATGGGATTTGGAAGCACAGCCGTCCTCTGACTTCGCCTCTGAGCCGTCTAGAGTGGTCCCAGGCGCGCTTCAGGTCGAGGGCTACTTGGACTGTTGAGACGAGTGGCTTCATTTCCGAATAGGTTGTGCGGGACGCTAGGTATAGAGCACCGACATCGGAGGTGCGTCCATTTTCCAGGGTTTCGGTGAGAAGGTTGCTGTAGATCTGAAGTCGTAGTTCTGCTGGTAGCGCGAGTAACGCGGAAGGCTTGTCTTTGGCCATGGCGCTGACTGTTGGTCTGTGATGAGTTGAATGGTTGCTATCGGAGGATTTGGCGATTTGCTGAAGATGAAAGCAGAAAAGAGTTTGCGGCGTTTTGATATTCAGCGAGCAAACACCCTGTGGAGCCAGTGAAAAGCAAGCTCAGCACGCAACGGTGAAATGGTAACTTGCGGAATTGATGGAAGAGTGATAACAATGTTGCATCATCAAGCATCAGGATTGTCCTTGTCCCACTCATCTAAAGCGTGTGGGCCCAACGTCCAGCGTCGCCCAAGTGCATTCACTGGTGGCTTCAACCCTTGTTTGAGATCCAAGCAAAGCGTCCACCTAAGATTTGGAGCAGTTCCATCAATGCCAAGCCACCATATCACCTTTCTGGAGAAGCAATAGCAAAGCTTGAAAATCTGATACATGTCACCTTTTCCGAAATCGCCTATCGAAAGGGGAGGAGCTCCAAGGGTGCCCAATTCTATCATCAGACGATCGATACCTCTGAGGTAGGAGTGTTCTGTTTCAAGAATTATGGGTATCCGATATAACAGGTGGCTGGCTATAATGATACTGGCGTGCCATGGTACATCTCGATGTGGACCTGGTTGGTAGAAACTGAGAGTAAAAGTCGACAACTGGAGGCGTGATACGTAGGAAAGTATACTTGCCAGATCACCGAGATCTATTGGATGTTTCCCAGAATTGATTTTCATGCTTACCGGTATCAGTAGCGTAAGGTCTTTTACCGGCCCGGTAGATTCGTAGGTAGAGGGAAGATACACGTGTAACGGACGGACCGATGGAGAGTTTCGTAGCCAGTGATTTTGCAATTTGATGATCGGCAAAACCTTTTCGACACACTCGTCCATCTCATCATGGATCTTGATGCAAGAGCTGTACAGGCCTCTGGCGCAGCATGGGTAGCCTTCGGCAATGCTTGAAGCCAAGAGGCGCCCGTATACTTCCAGGCGCAGTTCAGCTGGAAGAGCGAAGAAGCCTTGGTGCTGGGTGGTTGTCATCTCGTAATTATCGAAGTAAGAAGGTGATGACCGGCCGTAAACCGTATATCAAGGATCGTGTATGGAGTCTCGTGTGTAGAGCGCCGTGTATGAATTGTCTGTTATCAAGCGTCGTGCGTAGAGCCTTGTTTTGGCGATGGAAGGTGATGCGGCGGCAGGTAGCAATAATCTGTTCTGGTTCTGGAGCAAAGGCGAGGAGGGAGATATGCCAGGTCTCGTCTTATACTAATTCTGTTGACTCATAAGCCAATATTCGGTTGCGGAGGGTGATTTTCGTTACCATGGTTCTGCGCCAGGCTACCAAATCACGTGTCACCACCTCAGCAGCACCATGGGCTGCAGGCGCCAGTCGACACATGTATCATGCGCAACGACCAAATCACATCGAAACACCAACATAACACACCTTGAACAGTAATCCTTATACATTTCAAAAAAAGATGCCATCTATATCTAACCACGCCTCTCAGGCGATTCAGAAAGATCTATCAACAAGCTGACGATGGGTGTCAAAACCACTGATGCCGTAAATAGTTTGCCAAGAGCGCCAAAATATATGTCCAGCAAATGCTTGTAACCCCTAAGATAACAACAAAGGTACCCAGCAGACATCTTCAGGTCTGGTAACGAAACGAAACGGAGAAGGAGAAAGAGGAAACAGGTATCAGTTGAGAAGGCCAAAGGAAAAAAGAGTACAAAGCATGACTTATGCTCCGCCCATGCTTTTGGTAGAGAAGGCAAAAGTGGCAAATAGGATGGCGCTCAATCCCTTCCTGCTATACACACAGATAAATACTGGTGTTCAGATGATATTCGTGTCAACACGGCGCTGCGGTGGTCGTTGGTCGTATGAGACCTGGTATTGCGTTCCGTTCCATTCCGGTCATCTCGTTCAAGGCTTTTCCTTGTACTTGGCCATCCTCTTTACGGGATGGAGTAGCATACCCGGTATGCACATTCTCTTCTGCTCCAGCTCGCCGTCAGAGCCTGGTCCACCATCGATCTTTTCTGACTCTCCCCAGTTTTGTTGGACAATGGGCCAGTTGAGCCATCGTCGGTATAGGTTACGTGGGAAGCGTGATGCGTAGTACCAGCTCCAGCCTTGGAAGTTGAACTCGCGGTCGTGGTTGTAGGGCGAGTCGGCTTCTTCGGTCCAGGCGCCTTGACGGCTTTCCAATGCTTCACCTGTCTCTTCATCGACGGTCGATGCGGTATCAAAGATGGCTTCGGTGTATGCGGCGGGCCAGTGGCGGTCGTTGAAGATCGGATGAGGTGCGTATACGGCTTTCAACCCGTGTTGGAGTGCAACTGTCGAGGGCCACATCTCGGCCTGCATACTGCGTCCAACTAAGTTCTCCTCATGCATAGCCTGCAGCATCTTCTTGCTGAAACGTACGACTGTGTTGATGAAAGTCCGGCGATCAATCTGTTCGAAGATGGGATGAGTAAACCAATCGGCCTGGCCATCCTCTGGCGTGAAGATTGGTCGAATGTGAGGCAGATAGTTCCAGATCTTATCCTTGTAAGACCAAGTCGTGTTCCTAGGGTCCCACATCGGAAGAAGAGTGATGAAGTCCGCAGGCTCACCAACACCCCACTCGAAGTTGTCTTCTTCCATAGTCGTGGGTGGTGTAGGGCCTAGTGGCTTCTGGGGAGGGATGGCAAGTCTCCATGGCCGTGGTCCCCATACGGGTGGTGGGATGAGCGAGTTTGCAGATGCGTTCAAGACGTCTTTGTGTGTGTTTTCGACGTATGATTGGTAGTCTCCATGTACGCTCGGAAGATAGTATCGCTTGTTGCGCTCCCACAACAGCTTCCTCGGTTGTTTGTCCGCGAACTCGCTGATCTTCTCGAAGAAGTGATAGTGATGTCCAGTGTATCTAGCGTCTGTTTCCCAGTTCCAGACGTAATCAAATTCGGGGTGCGTAAGACTGAACCATTGTAGACACATGAATTGCTGCCAATAGACCTGCCAGTCCATCACCTTGGGATACCATTTCGGGAAGATGGATTCTGACCATAGGATAGCAATGTCGCGCAGTTCCTCAGGTACGTTTTCCTTTAGAATGCGATCGTATTCATACTGGCTGTCGAAGATGGGTGCATCTCTGTCCTTGACGTGGACGTAGAGGTAAACTTGGTATTCACCGCCGGACTGGAGGGAGAGCTCGGAGACCATGGCGCGAATGGCGGTGATGTCGTTCTCTTCGTAGTTGTATCCGGTCCAGGCACGGATGAGAATAGCTGTACGGTGATGGTACTTCTTCTCGCTGTCATCGCGGTTCTCTAGGTTGCTTCGGCTCGTGTCTGTGGGGATCGCAAACGCCGACGACGCCGCCGCGGGCTCAGGTAGGACAGTGCTGGGAATCTTCACGATTGGCGACCTGGCCTTGGGCCGGTAGCGCCCCTTGTTCCGCTCAAGACAATCGTCTTGCAGCGCACCCCAGTTCACCTGAGGCCACTCGGGGACAGTAGCGGGCGCCTTCCAGTTCTTGACCTCCTCTGGGAACTCATCATCACCATATCCGTACGGACCGTATCGTGAGTATCGGTCGAAGCAGACATCGTCGTCGAGTCCGATGACATCATAGCCACCAGCGTATACCGGGGGAAAGTCCTCTGGTATGCCGCGGTAGACCTGAACCTCGTCGTCGGTGCTCTCGTTGAGGGGTTTGCCGCGCGGACCCAGACAAGCCACGTATTCACCGTGCCACTTCTGCTTCCACTTTGGGGTGTTGTACTTGGGGAACGGCTTGTATGCGATCGGATCAGAGGCAATCGTGTCGTTCAGCTTATCATGGCTAGACTCGTAGATGCGATAATCCCTGCATAAGATTAGAACCACCACTGTCGCGCGCAAAGTATGTACACTTACAGATCGAATTGTTCCCACCGGTTCGGGTCGTACTTCTTGTCGACGTAGTCGCCGAATGGCGGCCAGTGACCACTCCAGCTCGGTCGCGGCCAGTCCAGCATCTTCGCCATATATTGCTTCCAGTTGGATGGTGTCGGGTAGGGAGGGATGAAAGAGCCTGTCCTCGACGGTGCGGTCACCCATGGCGGGTAAGGCTTGGTGGGCTTCGACGCGTCGACTTCAGGCTCGCGCGAGGTCTCCATTGGCGGCAGCATAACCTCTGCTGCCTCTGTTGGCGATTGCGCATCCACAGGGACGGGCATCGCGCCGGGAATGGGCACGGCATTATGCCATGCATCCTCGAGATGCGCCTGCGCCTCGCCTGGACTTTCGTTCAGGAGTTCCTGTACCGGCGGTCTATTCCCCGAATTGAAGAGCGGCATGCGCTCGTACACCTTCTCGTTCGCCCATGGGCTCTGCTGTAGGACGGCGAAGATGAAAACCAATGCTATAAAGGAAACTATCGCAAATCTGCGGGGTGATCGGACAAACATGATGTCGATGTTGTTCGTATTCGTATCGTTTAGTGGTGCACACTAACCTTATGCCGGTATGGTACCTAGTGTACTGGGGTAGTCGTAGGATTTACCGATAATGTAAAAGCTGCATCGCTTTAGGTTGCGGAGGTGTAGCGCGAAAGAAGGACTAGCGACTGATTGCGAAGAGGTGTGGTGAAGTGGTGCAGGTGGTAAGGACCGTGGGTGTTAAAGATGGCGGCGAAGCTCTGGTGAAGGCGCTGCCGAGCGATGCTAGCTTGGATGCAAAGGAAAGGAAGGCGGGGCCGACTACAGTGAAGAGGGCAAGAAGGATGGTCAATCCGTCTATCTGAGTCGGTCGTTCCTGCCGCACGTGAACTCGGGAAAGGGCCGGTGGAATGCGAGAAAGAGCGAACGGGATCGATCGAGGAATGCAAGCCTCAAGAGAAAAAACCGCAGACGATGATTAGACGGAAATGACGATACCAAGAGCGCGGGACAAGACTACTCGACAGGGTACGAAATTGCACGAGCAGAAGAAGCGTCGAACACTCTCAAACGGCAGTACGCGGCCAGAGCCTCGTCGATCTGGGAATCCCC